CCCCAAAACCCCAAAACCCCACTAAGAGAGGTAATGATTGTTTAATAAATTAAAACAAATTAATCAATAAAACAAAATATTTTTTGAAACTATTGCAATTAAGAATGGCCAATTAGCCAAAATATAACATAGTTCCAAATACTAATATTGTGGTCAACCTCCGAGGTAAATTCTATCAATTTATTTTGATATAAGTCATTAGAGTGCAGGTATGACATTTTCAGACGCATCACTTAGGAGCACTTTAAATGGGAAGCATTATTGTCATATGAATACTATCAATAAAAGAAAAATGGACAATAAATTATCGATTGAGAGCAAGGTGATGGTTATGGAGATGGTTGTGATAACCAAAAATTAACATATTAATCAACAATGAAGATTCAGCAGGATCCCTCAGTTAAGTGAAGTAATGAGGATTAAAGCTAAAATACTTAGCCTCATTAATAATACCAGCAGTGGGACATATTATGGTTTGATCATGGAGGACTCACACCTGAATTCTTAAGCAGCATGCTGCCCTGGCAAAGAGTCAATCATTTCTTAGGTAAAACATCCTTTTCATTATAACAGTATAGGTATGTATAATATAGCAAGGAAAAATACTTTAGGAATACATCTTAAGAGATTCCTAAAAGAATTTCCAAAGGAATATAATTTTTTTCCTAACACCTGGCTTTATCCTACAGACTTTTTTGAAATCAACGAATACTATAATCTCAAGGCGACCAAAAGAAAATAAAAAGTTAAAGATGGGTAAATGACTGAGTAATAATCAACCCAAAACCCAATAGTGCTATTTATATGTAAACCGGAGGCATCTTGCTAAGGAAAGGGAATTTTTATAGTAAAAAAGCTTGATGACATGAGACTGTAGTTAAATCAATAGTTACAATAGTAATAAAAATAATTCTAAGAATACATATAAGCTCAAGAGTATTATGATACTGCTTAATTCTACTCAAATAAAACGCATCAGCTTCAACCACAGACGAATCTTTAATAAGCGATCTTCTCAGTAAATTTAGATTAAAGTTAATTAAATAATACTCAGAATCTGAATTAATAATAAGTGGAGCCACCATAAATAGTAGAAAAAAATAATACTTACGTTATACAAAAATATCTTAAAAATCCAGCATTGATCTAAGGACATAAATTTGACTTTAGAATATATGTATTAATAACTTCAGTAATTGAACCACTATCCATATTCTTATTTAGAGATGGGCTAGTAAGACTTGCTAGCGAAAAATATTAGATATCTTGAAATATTCAAGATTTGTATGTGCATTTGACTAATTACAGTTTAAATAAGAAAAATCAAAACTTTGATGGGGAAAAACACAAGCTGAAACTGTCTTAATGCTTAAATAGAGGAATGACCTAATAAAGTGAAAAGGGAATCTATACTAAATCGTCAGATCAAATCTGGAATGAAATCGAAGATATTGTGATAAAAACAGTAATTACCATTCAACCTTAACTGTAACATTACTATCGTAGTTGTCAACCAAAAGAACCTGATCTTTGTTATGAACTATTAGGTTTTGATATTATTTTGGATAGAAAGTTAAAGCCTTGGCTTTTAGAAGTCAATCATTTGCCTAGCTTTAATTCAGATACTTAAACTGACGAATAAGTTAAATATGAATTGATCAGAGATGTTTTCAACATCTTAAATCTGAGTATAGAGCATAGAAAAAAAATTTACAAAGAAATGAAAGCAGATTAAATGAGATAAGCTCAATAAAATGGCTGTTACAAAAGATTGAACGTTAGGGAGCATGTTGAAAGAGTAAGATTTGACCCTGCCACTGTAGCCAAACTCAATCCTTCAAATAAGTTCAGACTAATTTATCCAAAACCTAACGGCGACGACTAATATGAAAAATATTAGAAAAAGGCACATGAAATTTGGTAAATGACAACTGGAACTTTCAGGTAAATTCAAGCATAGAGCCAAGTAAAGGAACCTAAGAAAAAAAAAACTTTAAAGAGCAGACATAGAAAGTAGAGTCAAATCCTATTATAATAATAAACAGCTGAATAAATAGTAAATGAAGAATTGAATGATCCTCTAGATCACAGAATGATATCAGACAATGAATAGTATGATTAAAATATCACACTAGCTGATGTAAATAAGGGAGAAAAGCTTCTCGATAACGATGATACTATAAAAGTCATGTCTCCAATGACAGAAAATTAAGATTCAATTTCATTATTGAAAGAAAGAAGACAGATTCCAGGAGTATCAACAAGTATGCAAACATCTCATAATTTTTTTGATAAAAGGCAGAGCTATCAACCAAAAATTTAATAGCAATCGCAGCAAGCAATAAGTAGTCTTTAGCCTAAGATTTCTAAATAAAACAGTCAGAGATAGAGTCTCAAGCAAAATATTATTAGATAAACACAATCAAATCCCCGCCCTCCGAATCAAGGAAGACAAAATTAAACAGCTACATCGATGTTCAACTAGATAAAACATAAAGGAGGAGACTTAATCAAATCAAATGAGGTATTAACCTAATAATAGACTGAAGAGCTGCTAAAAGTAGATAAATTCAAGGATGAAAATAATAGTGCTAATAAAATACTAGAAAATACCATAAATGGCCCTAATTAAAACTTGAATGAATCAGATATCATGCATAAGCTTTAAATGAATAACGGCTAGTTGAAATATAAGGAATACTGCAAAGCTTTAATCGATGACTTCAATCAGGCATACTATAAATCGCAATATTATAATGGGCTAAATGGAATTTCTTAGACAAGTTCGAACAATCCTCAATAGAATTTACAAAACTAAACTCAAAATACTTAAATTACAGATAATACTAGAAGCATTAGTCAAGGTGTATCATTAGCCAATTCAAATATCAATACTTTAATAATTCAACCTTAGAATGTAGTGAATGGGTCATAGAATAGTACTTTCAACACTTTTTACAATCATAATTTTGCAACAAACATTCCAAGTGGAAACTTAAATTCATAAAATTAATATATGAAGAAACTTAAGCATGTGATTCATTCAAATGCGAATCGCTCTAATGCTGGAGGGGGCATACTAGGCAGACAAAATCGATAAGGCATGCTAATTGGAAGTTTGGTAAGTCCAGGTAATCATTATCGCTAAATATAGAGTAAAACCAATCCATTTCAATAATAAGTAGTCAAGAGCAAAGAAGATCTTGCAATCCTGAATATGGCTCTGAATCAGAGAGTGCTAATGAGAAGTGATTCAATATAAAATAAGCAGAATGCAGGGATTACTAATAATGCAGCTGTGGTTGATATGGCACCAATTAATCTCTCAGCAGGTATCATTGATTTTAAGGTTTAGTATAAAAAGCAACATAAGAGATTTCATCCTACTTCTGCCTCTTAAAATGGTCCAGGAATATAAGGGCAATTCCTTAAAAATCAATAGAAAGCCTTGTTAAATCAATAGAAGCTATAGAAAAATCACATTAGCCCTAAACTAAAGTTACAATGGATAAATGAATCAGCAGATTTAGTGAACTATATAACTCATAATGAAGAAAATTAAAAAGAAGTCAATCAATAGATCAATAATAAAAACAAGAGGGAATAAAAAAATAGTAGAATACTGTCTATTGAAAATTATGCCTAGGATCGAAATCTAGATCGCCTTAAAGAATATGAGAAAAAATTACAATAAAATTTCAGCTACTAGCAGCAATCATAATGAGAAAGCTGAAATCATTATCTTAAGTTCAATATAAAATGCTAAAAATATAAGCTCACTAAGTATATGAAAACAAATGAAACTGCTGGTATCTAGCAGGAAAAATGATATATTTGTTGAGAAATGACTTGTAAATATATCAATTATAATTTTTTTATAACTGATTCCGATTATTGAAATATAATGCTTGCACCATGGGGTTTTGGGGTTTTGGGGTTTTGGGG